CGCAACAACCACGTGCTGATTCATCTACCATCAAAGTTGAAGATCACCCACCACATGAAACTTCTCGTGGTCCCATTTCATTCAAGATCAAGTGTTCATCACCCTTGTAAAAGAATAACTACACAGAGATTGTAACCCTAAATTCATTAATACAAAATAATTATTTTTGTACACGTGTTCTTATTTCTTTCGTTGCAGAAAATTTCGTGTTTACAAATTTGACATGCCCGGTGGGATAATCTCTTCTAATCTCTTTCTCCAAGGGATTTAACTCCAATCTAAGCAATGTCGTTGAAGAAGGCTCTAGTTGCACCCGTGAAAACATGCAAGAACGTGATTGCTTTCACCACAAGGCGCGATTATGCTAGCATCGTCTCTCGAAACAAGACGAACGTATGCATCTCAACCTGACACATCGTAAAAACAGTGTTTCCGATCAAATCCCATAAAGTTCGCTGCAAGAATCAATCATCCATCAAATTTGCCACTCAAAGTAAGTTGAAGGCTTATGCCCAATATACTGCTGCCATGGCATATCAGCTCATGTCGCACGGGGTCCAAACAAGACAATAATTTATGTTGTTTCACTGGGGACAAAGAAGCTGGTCTCTCGAAGCAATGTGAGGTGCTCTCCATGATTGAGATATTCAATAGAACAATCATCCTTGCATGCTTATGGGTCCATGCTTGGATAGTCACCAAAAGAAGAAAACTGCAACGATGCCTCGAAGTCCTCTGACTCATCTAGTTTCATGGTCATGCAGGTGATGGTGGTGGGAGTCACTTTTGTTGATAAACAAGTAGCCAAATGGCCTAAGCGAGCGAGAAGCTGACGAATACCATTAAAGAGAAAGACATACAGATCAAGTCGCTCATGAGCAAGCTAAATGAAAGACAATGGTGGTGAGTCAAGCAGCGGTTCACCTCATCTAAGTAAAGAGGCCCGTCAAGAATTCACCTCTGACTAGGAAGGAGAAATCAAAATGTTGTTATGTTTCAGTGGTATCTTTGTTAGTCCAACAAACTCTATGACATGATCTCAACACCATTAAAGCACAATATCGAAGTCCTTCCCAAAATTCACTCATGTACTCCAAGTCGTACACGAAAAGGTTTAATAACTTCGAATGCTAACGGGATATCAGCCTCTCAAATTCTTGCAGTTCAATGGAAAAGGCAACTCTAAGCAACATATTGCCTACCTTATTGAGATTTGCAACCATCATCAAAACATTGCTGGCGCCACCACCTATCATCACCATTAGCATTGTTGCCTTGCCACTTCCAACCACAATCATCACCGTCACTGCCATCGCTACTACCACAATTACTTGTCATCGTCATTACTACTGCCACATCCACCATTAGCGTTACCATCACCATCACTCACCATCATCACTGTTGCTGCTACCACAATCCATTATTACCATCACCATCGTCGCCACCATGGTCACCACCATCACTGTCATTGTTGTCGTCATCACCCACCATCGTCATCAACTTCACTAAGCCACCACCACCACCCACCATCATCATCGCCAATATTGTTGCCTCCAGTAGTACATTTCCTAACTATTCATGTCACACTTTATATTAATGACTCAATATACACATTAAATTTTGTATTTGAAATTCCTCTTTCTTTTAGGTAAGCCAAACAAGAGAATTCACAAAATTTTGAAAAATAAATTTCCATTATTTAAGATTTCATTATTTTGAAATTTCTTAGAAATTTTGAATTTTCTAATGCAAAAATAGGGTAAAGTTAACAACAAAAATTAGAGGTTCATTGCCTTTTGTACTTTCTCTAATTTTTCCTAACGCGGGTTACTCTTATATCCACCTATTTGAGATGGGATTTGGATCCATTAATAAGGGCCAGTGGGACTACTTAAGCCTGATTAGTTAAGATTGAGACAAACTTTGGCATCTCGAAATTAGCCATGGGCTGCCAATCACCTTATCTACTCACTACTACAAAATACGCTTTATGCGACGAAATAAGTTTGTTGTGCAAAGTACAATTTCGTTGCACAAAACCTTGTGCGACGAAATTTTGGTCTCGCATGGTTCGTCTTGCAAAGCTCGTGGCGATAGGGTTTGCGCGATGAAAATTAATCATCGTCACACAAAGCTACTTTGTGCGACGAATTAGTTTGTCGAGCAAAGCATCATTGCGCAACGAAGATAACATCACGCAAAGCTTTGCGCGATGAAATATTTTAAATTTTGTTTATTAAAATAAATTAATTTAATATTTTGCGCGACAAAATATTTTGTCACACAACGTTTTTGACTTTTTGTTTTATTATTTCTCATATATTAATTTAATTATATTAATTGTTTATGCACCGAAATATTTGGTAGCGCAAGATTTTTCAAATTTTTACTTTTTTAATTTAATTTAATTGTATGATTTTATTTTTTTTAAATTACTTTAATTTAAATTGACATATTCAAAATAAAATTACATATGAAAAATAGTGATCAAAATATCCAATATATATAATATTCAAAATGTACACATAAATTAACAAAGTACAATAATAAAATCCTAATACAAGTCTATTGTGGTGGTAGTGGTGGGAGATATGTTTCGATAGCGTCCTAATCCTCAACTTTAGCCATCAAAGTCTTGACGATTCCGTACAGAAAAAATATATATGGTCAAATAACAAAAAAATAACAAAAAATTGGCATAATCTCCCCTAAAATTGGTATACCCTAAATCCGACCCCAAACTCCACTCCTCATCCTATACTCGACCCCAAACCCCGCACCAAACTCAAAACTAACTCCAAAAACACATACTAATGAAAAAAATTAAAATTTGGGGAGAATATACCTTTTGGCAAGATTGAGAGTGAGTGAGAATGAGAGGGAGGAGTAAGTGTGAGAGAATTAAAGGAGATAATGAGAGAGAGATGAGAGAGTGAGTGAGAATGAGAGATAGTGAAGAGAGAGAAGAGAGATTAAGTGAGAGGAGTGAGTTTGAGAGAGAGGGTCAAATTTGGGGAGAGGGAAAGAGAGAGGAGAGGTAAGAGTAGAGAAAAACATTGAGAAAATTGTGGAGGAGTTATTTTGGTTTTAAAAACGGTATCACTTTGCGCGACGAAGTATACGAGTTTGCTCGACGAAATATTGGTCGTGCAAAGTCTTAAAAAAAATTCCCGTGTCCCATTTTTTTGCCCACTCAAATTTTTAGAGTTTGGTGCGACGAAGTGTTGGTCGCGCAAAGTTTTGCGTGACGAAAAATTGGTCACGCAACCCCTAAAATTTGGCGCGACGACTAAAATTTTTTTTAATTCCCACGGCCCATTTTTGGTGCCCGCTCAAATTTTTAGAGTTTTGCGTGACAAAGTGTTGGTCGCGCAAAGTTTTGCGCGACCACTTGAATAATTTTTTTTAAAAAAAATTCTTGTGTCCCATTTTTGTTGGCCGCCCAAATTTTTATAGTTTGGTCTCGTAAAGTTTTGCGTGACGAAAAATTGGTCGCGCAAAGTCTTAAAAAAAAAATTTTAAATCCCGCGTCCCATTTTTGGTTTCTGTCCAAATTTAAGGATTTTGTGCGACTAATTATTGGTTCGTCGTGCAAAATTTATACAAATAATTTTTGTAAATAATAAAATTTACTGAAAATGTGACTTTACTCCTTTCATATTCAATTTTTTTACATAAAACCCACAATAATATATTTTTCTAAAAAAAACCCGATCCGCACTACAATAATAAATTTAAAGCTACTTAATAAATATATATATACCATTCAATTTTTTAAGTGTTATACATACAAAATAAATAAATTTAAAGCTACTTAGTATATATATACACACACCATTCAACGATCCAACCGTCAAACTTGTTTGTATATACTTTGAGATCATATACGCCAAAAATTGCAAAAAAAAATATATTCAAAGATCAAGTAACGGTTATTTTAACTCCGATTTTGATGATTTTTTACAGCTACATTCCTTAATCCTATATGAATACAATGATTGAATTCGATCTTCAATTTAAAATATTTACACTAGTGCAGGTTATACATAATGAAAGTATAAATAAACTGTAAGTGTTAGTGAATCTATTGTTTAGATGGGATACGCATTCTACGAAACTGGTTTCAACGATCAACCGTCAAACTTGTTTATATATATTTCGAGATCGCATACGCCAAAAATCACAAAAACCAAACATTCAAAGATCAAGTTACAGGACAAAACCTTTCGATGGTTATAGACGAAAAATTATGATTTAACGGCTATTTTAACTCCGATTTTGATGATTTTTTACAGCTACACTCCTTGATCCTATATGAATACAGTGACTAAATTTGATCTTCAATTTAAAATATTTTCACTATACTTAATGAAAATATAAATAAACTCTTTAAGTGTTAGTGAATCTATTGTTTTGATGAGATATGCATTCTATGAAACTAGTTGCAATGATCCAACCATCTTGTTTGTATATACTTCGAGATCATATACACCAAAAATCACAAAAAACAAACATTCAGAGATCAAGTAACGGGACAAAACTTTTCGACGGTTATAAACGAAAAATCACGATTTAACGGTTATTTTAACTCCAATTTTGATGATTTTTTACAGTTACACTGCTTGACCCTATATGAATACAATGACTAAATTCGATCTTCAATTTAAAATATTTACACTACTCGATACCACAAAATCTTATGTTATACTTAATGAAAATATAAATAAACTCTTTAAGTGTTAGTGAATATATTGTTTTGATAAGATATGCATTCTATGAAACTAGTTTCAACAATCCAACCATTAAACTTGTTTGTATATGTGACGACCCATCCCAAATTTTCCTATGTAATTTCTCCCCGAGTATGTGTTTTGACGACTATGCCTTACTGGCAAGTGACGTGGACTTATTCTTATCGCTTTCCATTTTATTTCTCGTTATCGCATTTAAATTGTACACGCTAGTACGAGTAGACGTAGATTTTAAAGTGTAAAAATATCTACTTCGGATAGATTTCGATTTCCTTTTACTGTAGGAAATATAGAAATCTATCCCTTGGATTCCTTTTAAACCCATCCCGTGCACTCTCTGCATCACTCCACTTTCAGCTATTCCATCCCATCTTTTCTGTATGTTTTGTCCCCCCTCTATCAGAAAAAGCAAAGAAAATTTGAAAACTTCTCTCTTCTTTCTCTCTATCCCGTGAGCTCTCTCTCCCTCTGCAACTCCATGAGCAAGCTCCAAAACTCATAGATCGAACAAACAAACTACATCATCATGCTCATCTCAGCCCCACGATCACGACCATACCCTTGGTTCGCGTGTTGATCGAGTTTTGAACATCCAACTCGGAAGGTCCGACTCGGCGAGTTCGATACTATGGTTTTCAAGCCATGCATGGCTAAGGTAAGCCTTAAGAAACCCTTAGAACCTTCATTTCACTTCTATGGGTTGTTATTGATCATTTTTTTGTGTTTTGAACGTGTGGTTTTACCCAGAAACTCGAGAAGAAGGAGAACCCGAAGTTTTTCGTACAAGAACCGTGGCCATTTAGTCATTTTCAAACCATTTTTCTGGTCAACCTCGACCACAACTGGACTTCTTCTAGGTACAAACTTGTTCTCTACATTCCTAACTTCAAAATGGCTTTTGAATCACTGAGTTTGGTTAAGTAACGAGTTAGAAATCAACTCTGGAAGTTGGGAAGAAAATTTTAGTTTTCTGGAAAATTTCAGCCGTGGTCGTTTGGCCACTTTCAGACCAAATTTCTGAACAACACGGACTATATTCGAACTTTCTGTAAATTAGGATCGGTAGATCACATTCCGAGCTTTAATTTGGCTTTTTTATAAGTGAATTTGGTTGCGAATCGAGCTCGTTATGGGCTCTGGAAGTTGACCAAAAAATCTGCAAAACTGCATATTTTCGCGAAGAAGGCGAGTACAGTGTACTCGCGGGGGCGCGTGGGCGCGTGGGCGCGCGTGGACCGCCACTTTGGGCGGCACGTGGGGGCGCGTCCAACCTTCGGCCTGCGCGTGGTTGGTACGTACGCGTTCGTGTCGTCGAGTAGATCGATTTCATATATTTATACCCTAGGTTTGAGCAAACAATGGGCGTTTTATTTAGGTTTCCGTTATGTGCCTTAATTAATGTTATTTAGTTATTTCACATATAGGAGAAACTTATTCCGAGGATTTTCGAGGCCAAGCTAGGCTCGGGGGCTACGACCCAGCGACGTACTTGTGAGTGGGCAATTGTTTTATACCTATATATATTTATAGTTTCCATAAATGCGTATTTACTTCATTTTTACGCCTATATTGCCTAGTATCATTATTGTGATATAAATTGCGATAAATGCTGCTATATGGTTGTAATATTACTGTCATGGCATTCATACATACTTGTGTACATGCTCATCTTGCTGCGCCCGGTGTTAGTACTCGCCCCAGGGCCAGGGCCAGTCTTTCACGTGTATGTTCACATCCGCACCGTTCGCTCACCTTGGATCCAAGTTTAGGTGCCAGTCTTGTCGAGTATTGCATTAGGCGATCCGACTTGTATGTGATGTGCTTTTGCACCAGTTTCACGTGATCGTAGTATTAGAGCATATTGATTACACCCAGTCATGTTCGTGTCAGAAACCATCTGTTCGAACTTGTGTGTCAGCTTAGATGGATGAGCACTTAGTTATATTGATTATCACATGATTATTATTGTGGCATATGATACATCATTTACTTGGCATATTTCTGGTTATATGGCTGATATATTGGATTTTCATACTTACGTAGTATGTATTGAGGAAACTATACTTGTTTTACGACGAGGGGTTAGTATATTCAAAGATAAAGGTTTTCTTATAAGCATTGTTTTACTGACCCACTCAACTTTGTTTTTCACCCCTCCAGGACCTAGATAGTTGTACTCTCTGTGGCACTCGAGGAATCACGGCAGTTCTGACATTTCCTTCTGTTTAGACGTATGAACTTATCACTACTATGTAATAAGTGTACTTTGGTTGCCTTGACTACTCTTTCGTAGTCTCACTGTCTATTACGCTCTGAATAATTGCAGTGGGTTCAACCCACAAATTGCGCACTCTTTCACTGTTTAGTCCTAATTAGTTTTAATTTTATTCACTTTTTGCATCACTTACCCTTATGGTTACGTCACCTCACGGTGACGGCCAGCATGCTTCAACCTTTCCAGGTCGGGGTGTGTCAGTATATACTTCGAGATCATATACACCAAAAATCACAAAAAACAAACATTCAAAGATCAAGTAACGGGACAAAACTTTTCGACAGTTATAAACGAAAAATTAGGATTTTGATGATTTTTTACAGCTACACTCCTTGACCCTATATGAATACAATGAACTAATTCGATTGTCAATTTAAAATATATTTTTCGAACAAAAATTCGATATGAACTACAATAATATATTTTTCTAACAAAAACCCGATCCGAACTACAATAATAAATTTAAAGCTAGTTAATAAATATATATACCGTTCAATTTCTTAAGTGTTATGCGTACAAAATAAAAAAATGAAAATAAATTGGTTTAGGAGACGAAATATTTGAATTATGTTGCGCAAAGATTTTAAAAACTAATTTTTTTTATTTTTGTAAAGACTTTGCTCGACGATGTTTTTTCGTTACGCAAAATTTCATCGCACAAAATTTCATTACGCAAAGTGATTTTGTGCGACGATGAATTTTTCGTCACGCAAGATTTTGCGTGACGAACTTTAGAGTTTTGTCGCGCAAAGTGACTTTGCACGACGATGTATAATTCGTCGCGCAAGAGGTTTTTTTTACTAGTGACTCTTCTGAATCGATGCCCATATTTTGTGTGTCTTTTAGTTTAAGCCGACTTTCGACATTGACAAGTTCTCCAAGTTTTCCAAGTTAAAAATAAATAAAAAAGGGTCATCATTTGACTCCACCTTAGTCACGTAATGAAACGTAACGTAACGGAAAGTCCTCCCTCCACGTGTTTTTTTGACCATTCAGAAGAGGGGGAAGAAAATAGAAGGAAAGAGAGTTCTTCAATCAAAGAATTTGAATAGTCTTCAACATTTTGATTTATTTTGTTTCCAATTATTCAATTAATTAATCATGTCACTATGACTAATCTTAATCTCAACTGGTCTTAGCTACTTTTCTTCGTTTTCTGAATAGATCATTTTTTATTTTAGATAGAAGTGTTTATACATATAGCGCTTTACTATAATAGTAGAAAGCAATAATGCATATTCACTTTGGTACAAGTTTGATTCTTATCGATTATCCTCATTCCTAACATTTAATTATCTAACCCACTTACGTTATCATTTGTAAAAAAAGAAAGGGTGTTCATATTATGATATAACTCCTATTATATTTCAAGTGTTATTAAATTAAGGGGTTTTGTTAACTTTAATCATTCTAGAAGAATGAAATTTAAAATAAATCTGGTGTTAGATTACATAATGATTATAGTCCCTTGATGTGTTCTTAATTCAAAATAATTAATATGCATTTTATTTAATGTCTCCCATTAAATATTTAAATTTATTAAAATACAAATTTTAATTTATTTTTTGAATAAAAAAAGTTTTTTTTTTATTTTTTTATTTTATTTAACATTCTTCAAACTTGAAAGACTCAATTAATGTATCTAAACATATGTATTGAAATGTATTATATTGAACTAATGTATTTAAATGTTAGTACCGAAATGTATGTACTGAAATATATGCACCAAAATGTATTATATTAAATTAATGTACCTAAATGTGTGTACCAAAATGTATGCACTGAAATATATTCTATTGAATTTATGTACCTAAATGTTTGTATCGAAATGTATGTACCGAAATGTGCGTACCTAAATGTATGCAGTGAAATGTATTATAATGAATTTAATGTACCTAAATGAAGAAAACAAAGTACATCGAAATATATTATATAACAAAAATTAGTTTATCTAAATGTTTACAACAAAATATACTACGATAAATGAAATGAAAATTAATACATTAAAATTAGGAAGAAAAAAAGAAATAATTAAAAAATGCAAATGTAATTAATAAATGAGGTTATTAATGTATTAAGGGACTAAAATTATATTTTAATCTTACTCATGATTTTAATCTAAAAGTCATATTTGCCAATTATTAGAATGAAATTTTCTATTAACAACAAAAATTCATATTGAAATGTGAAAGTAAGATAACAGCTAGCCATTCAAACGGGATTTGAAAAGTCGAATCCTAAAACTATGTTAATCCATCTAGCTGAATGTATGGCTAAGTTTAATCTACCAATCAGCTCGAATCTATGGATGATGCCATAATACATGCCGCATTAAGCACCTTGTAAGTAGTTGAGAACATTGGTTCTATCCTATTTGTATGTGTTTATCTATTTCATTATGTCAATTTCAAGGGGATAGTCTAGTGAAAAGTGAAAAAAAATGGTTTGGAATCTCTAACTCAAAGTTCGAATTCCCTTGGATGTATTTTCTTAGGCTACCGACTCTGTTTTTACATGCATATTGTATGACACGAGGCATGTTGTCATTTCATATAGTACCGAAATTGTATGGTGGAATATTTTCTATATTCAAAACAATCTCCCTCAACACATTATAATTGAAAAAAATTGGCGTATCATAATTTCTCATCAATATGGGATAGACACATAACATCTATTATCACCATGTTATATTAGTATATCACTATCACGTGCAAAAAAGAGAACACTTGATTGTATACATATATCATGTGCCACCCAAGAATCGCTCCATGTACCTTGGTGCATAGCGTGGTGTGAGTTGTTTGAATAGTAATCAAACCAATCAAATTCTAATTTACACACTTTTATTTAGGTTGAATCAAATTATAATACGTTTTGTGTGTTGACTTCGCACATCCATCAATGAACCATAAGATTCCTAGTGTTGACCTTTTTATGCGTAGACAAAATAATACAAAGAATATTCATTCTTAATATTTTTCTTAAGTTAATAGTTTTCACATTTCTTGATTCAAACCACCTCCCATGCTTTCTTGAACAGTTTATAAATGTACCATTCTCCACTGCAAGTCTGCAAAGGGTCATCAAGTTTTGTGGATTAATTATTAGACCGGTTTAGATGGAGGGAAGGAGGGAGATGGAGAGCCGTTTGCGGATGGAGTTGATGGTTTTTCTTGTGTTGGTTTTGGGGTTTAGCAGTAGATCCTTTGGTGCAGTTTCTCACAGTACCATGAACAAGATTTATAGAATAAACAAAGAAGGTCCATATTTGGGCATTGTAGTACCAAATTTCTTTGAGATGAACCCTCTTCTTCAATCTACAAGCTTTGTGGCTGATCAGAAGCTACCGTATTTGGATTTTGCTGGTAAGCATAAAATTACACACACACACACACACACATATATATATATATATATTCATTAAGTTTTATATAAGTACATGGGTGTTTTTTGAGTGCTATGTACATATATTTCCTAAAAGAAACTGATTTCTCACACTATTTTCTTATTCTGCACCTTTGTTGAATTTTTGTCCTTTAATTTTTTTTATTTATTTATTCAATCAAAAGGACCAAAATAAACAAGAGTGTATATGGAGAAAAATGAGTATGCGGAAATCAGTATCATTTGCTAAAATGTTTATCGTTATAGCTCATGGTATATATAAGTTTTGTTGTTGTTGCTTCTTGCCTTTACACGTTCTATTCTGAAATTTATAAATACATAGAATATTGTAATTGAAAGAAAATTAACTTTGGACCAAATTCTACATACTCAATTTGACAGGAAGAAGGTTTCGAATCGGACGATTGGAAGACAAAAAGGTTATAATTGTTATGACTGGATTGAGCATGGTATGTTTAATTATGCAGATGACCATCTGTTTTACTTTAATTAATTTCTTTGGTCAGTGCATATCATAGATAATGTATTTAATAAATGATGTAGAAATTGGGTTTGGCTTCAATACTACGAGTGTATTATATCTGTTAGATTCAACTTTCACAATTATTAAATCTTTTAGTGTAAATCTTAACCATTTACTTCCCGTATCATTCAATATTATTGAAGTATTTTCTGTGGAAACCTGCTGCAAAAAAATTGATGTAGCAACCTGTGAAAAGCTCAATGCAGGCATCTCAACTCAATTACTACAAACCCTATTCATGGTGAAAGGTGTTGTACACTATGGAATTGCTGGAAATGCAGATCCCCAACTCCAAATTGGAGATGTCACCATCCCTCAATTTTGGGCTCATACAGGCCTTTGGAATTGGCAGGTATAAAACACTAATTTTCTTTAGAAAATTGGCTTTTGTTTGGTAATCCCAGTTAATTGAATATCCAATTAATGGAAAAATTGGTAGCTAGCTCTTTAGTAAATATGACCAACTTTAATATCTTCTTTTGTCATTTGAATGCATGCAGAGGTTTGGAGATGGGCCTAATGATGAATTGTCCTTAGAATCATTTGGAGACTACACAAGAGAAGTTGGTTATATAAAATTTTCAGATTTTAGTAACAAAACCAAAGTTGGAACTTCTGTTCCCAATCTCCTGAACAGTGCATGGTATCAGCCAGAAGAGACCTTCCCAGTCCATGGCACTCCGGAAGTTAGGCAACATGCCTTTTGGGTTCCAGTCAACCACAAATATTTTTCACTTACCAAGAAACTAGAGGTAATTGGCATCATCTATATGGAATCCTAAACTAATTACAGAAAATATGAAATTAAGGTTTTTGGCCCAAACTATGATTTTGTTCCATGCAGTTTTAGAGAAATTCCACTTTAGTTTCTCTCTAGGTTCAGTTGTCTCAAATTTTTTTCAACAAAATTAGCATTTTATTAAAGGCATGTCTGCGGTGTTTCTACACCCCAAACACGTCCAGTTTATGTCACTCGCAAGCTAATTATGTCCGAAGAAAATAGACAGAATTAAGCTATTGTTGTTGAATGACATCAGTCACTAAAATACCGAGGTTAAATCACAAAAATTAAAACTACAGCTATCAGATTGGAATTTAACTAAAACTACAAGAACTAAAATCATGATTTGGGCTTTTTCGTTTTGTGTTTTAGTAACTTGTCAGTTATATTTTCAACACAGGGTTTGAAGTTGGGGAGCTGTGTCAATACAACTTGTCTTCCAAGAACACCCAAAGTGGTGGCAGTCCAAAGGGGGATTAGTGCAAATGTGTTTGTTGACAATAGTGCATACAGAGAATTCTTGAATTCCAAATTCAATGCCACCCCAATAGACATGGAAAGTGCTGCAGTGGCTCTTGTATGTCACCAGCAGAACACACCGTTTATCGTAATTAGAGCTCTCTCTGATTTGGCTGGTGGAGGATCCTCTCTCTCCAATGAAGCCAACACCTTTGCGTCATTGGCAGCTCAAAATGCAGTTGATGTTGTACTCAGATTCGTTGCCTTGTTGTCTTCATAGTTTCACCATAAAACGACACACTTCCATTGATCGGTGGACTGTAATTTGGAATAATTGAGGTTTATATATATATGTGTGTGTGAATTTCTTATGCGTAGTGAAAACGAAGCTCAGTTTTTGGTTTTTTTTTTGTTTGTTATTTGAGCCTAGACAACTTTGGATTTCATGGTAACATAGTGCTCGTGAACCAATGAATGTCTGTCTTTTACGGAAGTTTATAAGAATGCTTAAAGGAATACAGTTGGCTCCTTATGGAACAAGTCATTATTTCTTACAAACAAATCATCGTTTAAGAAGTCATTTTCTGACAAACAAATGAATATTCAATAGGTGTACAGACAATTTTTTTGTATTTTAAGTTATGTATGTCACGCATTAGAATATGATATAGAGATAAAAGATAAATAACTCCTTATAAGATAAATGTAAAAAGTTAAACCGTGTTTCGTTCTTAATTAAACTGCAGTCTGCAGAAGGTTTCGCCGCACTTTGAATCCCACATGTCACAAATTGTTTATTCCACTGACAAATGGAAGAAGAACAAGAAGATTAATTAAGTAGTTTATATTAGAGTTTGTGTTTTTATGTGTTTTTCAATGGAGATCTCTGTGTTGGAGGTTGAAGAACAAAACAGAGAAATGAGAGAGAAGAAGATTGAATGTGTCTCTTCGATTTCACTCTATATCCAAAAATACATTTGTAACCGTTATGTATGTAGAGGAAGGGAGATCCTTCACTCACCAATACACAACACAATCTCAACCATACATTGCTATCATCCTATGAGATGATGCCACTTGTCTTGTTATATCACTTAGATCCTATGCTAGAGAAGAGACCACTTGGACTATGATCCAATGGCTCAGATTACATCAGAAAGATAAAGCACATAAAAAGGAAAAATCAAGATTTGTAACTTTAGCCTCAAGATATTAGCTCAAGGGTTATATATCAACACTCCCTTCTAACCCTTTAGCTGATTTCACACCAAGTAGATCTCTTAGGTAAACAAATCGATCCTTTGACAGAGCCTTGGTCAGTATATCTGCAATCTGGTCTTCTGTTTTGCAGTAGACAAGTTCAATCTCCTTTGTTTGGATAGCTTCCCTGATAAAATGAAATTTCCTACTGATGTGCCTAGTTCTCTGGTGTAGAACTGGATTCTTTGCCATTGCTATGGCTGAAGTGTTGTCGCACAGAATTGGTGTGCCTTCCACTTGCTCCTCACCAAAATCTTCAAGCACAAACCTTAGCCATTTAGCATGTGATGTTGCTTCTACAGCACTGACATATTCTGCTTCTGCAGTGGACAGTGCCATTGTGTTTTGTTTGATTGATGCCCATGAAAACATACCGGATCCAAGTGTAAATGCATATCCTGAGGTGCTTCTCATGTTATCCTCACTTCCTGCCCAGTCACTATCACAGTACCCTATCAGAGTAGTTGTCTTCCCTTTTACAAATTCAATTCCAAAATCAAGAGTGCCCTGAATATATCTCAACACCCTTTTGGCTGTTCCCATGTGTTTCTTTGTGGGGTTATGCATGAATCTAGCAAGTAAACTAGAAGCAAACATTATATCCGGCCTTGTAGCAGTCAAGTATAATAAGCTACCTACAACTTGTCTATATTCACTTTCATTTGCTGCTTCACTACCATCTGTCTTGCATAACTTCTCATTCACAGCCAGTGGTGTTGCCACTGATTTGCAATCTTTCATCCCAAATTTCTCAATAAGCTTCATTGCATATTTTCTCTTGTGGATAAAAATGTTTTTATCTGTTTGCACTACTCCCATGCCAAGAAAATGATGAAGTAACCCCAGATCAGTCATCTCATAATGCTGCATCATGTCATTTTTGAACTCTTCGAGTAGTTTTGGACAACTTCCAGTATATACAATATCGTCCACATAGAGTGAAACAATAATGATACCTGTAGCTTCACTAGTTTTGACATAAAGTGTTGCTTCACTAGAACTCTTCTTGAAACCTGCCTTGCCGAAATAGGAATCTATCTCATCATACCAAGCTCTCGGAGCTTGCTTCAACCCATACAGAGCCTTGTTCAACTTATACACCTTGGTTTCTTCACTCTCCTTTACAAAACCTTGTGGCTGCTCAACATAAACCTCCTCCTTCAAAGTTCCATTCAGAAAAGCAGATTTTACATCCAACTGATATAAATTCCATTCCTTCTGTGCAGTAAGTGCTATCAAGGTCCTAATAGTATCTAATCTTGCAACCGGGGCGAATGTTTCATTGTAGTCTATCCCAGGCTTTTGGGAATAACCTTTTGCCACCAGTCTGGCCTTGTTTTTCTGCACGGATCCATCAAGGTTCAACTTCGTTTTATAGACCCACTTAACACCAATGATTGGCTTGTCAAATGGTCTATCAACTAGCTCCCATGTGTTGTTCTTCTCAATCATTTCAAGCTCAGATTTCATTGCATTTTCCCATGACTCATCTAGAATAGCATCTTCATAGTTTTCAGGTTCTACAATGCACATGTTACACTGAGCCATGATCTAATTTACACTTCTCCATTTCTGTGGTGTGTGATCAGTTGTTTGAGAACTTTCGAAAACATTCTCACTTAGTGATGCAACAACATCTTCCACTTGAGTTGATGTATCCAAGAATTGACTTGGTTCACATACTTCCACTTGATTCTGTCCTTCAATCTGCCATTTGATTCTCAATAATCATGGGAACTTGTATTTCACTCTTATCAGTGTTCTCCCACTCCCATGAAGCATTCTCATCAAAGTGTACATCTCTAGACAGGATGATCTTATTAGAACTTGGATCAAACACTCTGTACCCTTTTTCACAGATTCCATAGCCTACAAAAATACACTTGCGACTATTTTCTTCAAGCTTATGCCTTAGTGTTGAGGGAATGTGCACATAGCATAGTGACCCAAAGATCTTCAAGTGTGCAATGCCTGGTTTTCTACCAGTGTATGCTTCAAATGGAGTTATCTTCTTGAGGGACTTTGAGGGACATCTATTAAGTATGTAGACTGCAGTGTTCACAGCCTCTGCCCAAAATGCATAAGAAATACCCTTTTCATGCATCATAGACTTTGCCATTTCCACCACAGTCCTATTCTTCCTCTCAGCTACTCCATTCTGTTGAGGAGAATATGCCATGGTTAATTGCCTTTGAATTCCAAGCTCATTGCAGTAACTATCAAATTCAGTTGATAAGAACTCTCCACCCCGATCACTCCTTAGACATTTCACCTTATATCCACACTGCAACTCTGTCATTGCTTTAAACTTCTTGAAACAATCAAATGCACTTGACTTGTTTCTGAGAAAATATACCCAAGACATCCTAGTACAATCATCAGTGAACAACAGAAAGTACTTATTTCCAGAGATAGATTCAGTTTGCATTGGTCCACAGATATCTGTGTGGACCAATTCCAAAGGAAATTTTGCTCTCCAAGCTGATTTTGATGGAAAATACTTTCTGTGTTGCTTTCCTAGCATGCAGCCTTCACACACAACAGAGGTTTCTCCAAATGAGGCAATCCATGAACCATTTCTTGATTTTCAAGCATTTTTATGCTTCTGTTATTTAGATGCCCCAAGCGCTTATGCCATATCTGCATACAGTGTATCACACTTACTTTCAAGGCTATCTGATTTACTGGCATCATTGTAAGAGGAAAACACCTGTTGTTTGTCATCTGCACTCTAACCACAAGATTATCCATTGACCAACCATCGAAGATACTCACAATATTTCCTCCAAACAATAGATAGTACCCGTGCTCCATCATCTGTCCAACACTTAGCAGATTCTCTTCAAGTCCAGGAACAAGCATCACTTCTTGAATGTGCTTTCTTCCCAATTTGGTCTCTATAACAAGAGTCCCCTTTCCTGCAACCTGAACAATCTCTCCAGTTCCCATCTTTACCCTGGAAGCCAGATTCCTTTGGATGTTGATTAGTAACCTTTCATCACCTGTCATGTGGTTACTACAACCACTATCAATGTACCATGAATGATTCACCTTCACATCTGTCATAGCATTGCATGCATAGAACAGGGTACCAGTTTCTTCAACATGGTTTACATAGTTCACCTTCTGTATATTTTTGTTTCCATGGCAGTCTCTGATCACATGCCCAAGTTTCCCACAACCTGTGCATTTTGGCTTCCCTTCAAACCAACATTTGCCATAATGCAATTTATCACAGTGTCTACAAGCTGTCTTGTTTCCATCATTAGAGACATTTGGTCTTTGAACAAAATTTGGCTTATTATCCCACTTCTTTCCTTTGAATTTCCAGTTTTTCTGAAACTTTTGATTTCCAGAATAACCTATTCCCTTAGAGTTTTTACCTCCAACATTTAGACTAGCAAAAGCTCGTTCAGTAGAATTTTCAGCATGTCTATCCAATCTGAGTTCAAAACTTTTCAGAGAAGCAACTACCTCTTGAATCTCAAGAGTTTTCAAGGTCCTTAGAATGTTCAATTACGGAGCAAATAGGATCATATGATCTAGGCAAACTAATCAACAATTTTTGCACAACTCTCTCTCTAGACAGATCCTCACCATAACTCTTCATTTGATTCATTATATCAAATAATCTAGTGAGATATACAGATAAGGATTCACTATCTTTCATGCGAGTATATTCAAATTCTCAACGCAAACCTTGCAATTTTACGCTCCTTACTTGCTTATCTCCTCTGAACTCTTGCTTCAGAATGTCCCAAGCACCCTTTGAGGTCTCTTCGTTCACAATTCTGGGGAAAATTTGGTCTGAGACAGCACCTTGGATCAACCCAAGTGCACGAGCATCCTTCATCAGGATTTCAGCTAACGTCGGCTTCTCCACTTCCGTAACCTCGACCTCTTCTATCTTTTTCTTCTCCTTCTTTGGATCTGAAGCATCGAACCCATTTTCAACGAGATCCCATAACCCATGAAATTTCAGAATGGTTTTCATTCGAATGCTCCAGAACTCATAATTTTCTCCATTGAAAACTAGTGTGCGAAGCTCAGCAGTGCCTGATCCTGCCATGTTAGACATCGGATTCAAGAAATCACACCACCTCGATCGTCGTATGAGCTAGATTGCAGCTCGAATCAATTCCAGT